CAACACTTCCCCCCAGCTTGGTGTCATCTGGTGATATGCTGGTGCTTCTTCAGAGCTCACAGTTGCTGTCACCTACTGCAGGCCTGGCCACTGCCACTGCTGCTTTGGGTACCCGGGCTTTTGGGATGTCAAGCCAGAAGGGCTGCCATGGGGACATACTTAATTTGAAACCAATGTGAAGTATTTTAAACTCGATTTCTTGATCCTTCTGCCCTTTTTTTTAACAGAAGGCTGTCTTACTGTAGGCTTTAATATCCTATAGTCTTCACGTCCTGCTTCTGGGAGCCTGAGTGATGCTCTGGGCACTCAGCATGAGAAGCTGCCATAACTTTCCATGGTGGCTTCATCCCCAGCATCCACCCAGCACATTTCCTCCAGGACCAGGAGTTCTGGGATGTTTTGTGCCCTCTCTGTGCTCAGGATGGTCTCCTCTGAAAGCTTCACGCTCAGCGAGATGGTTTGATTTCCATGGCAAGCTGAGCTTGTTTTATCAAGCTGTAGATCTTCTTCTAACTCAAGACCAGTTATTATTTGACATCTTATCTCACCTGCGTGACTCTCCATGGAATGTCCTGGGGGACCTGTGCACCCAGGGCGGGGTAAGCTGGGGGGCAGAGGGCTGCAGGCAGCCCCGGCCCTGCTGTTTGCACCTTCCCTGGGTGCTCTCAGTTCAGAGCACACCTCACCTCTTTCGGTTTTACGTGCAGCGCCGTCCTCCCTGATTTTCCACCTTGCGGTTTCACATCAGGCCTTTTTCTTGCTTGAGTTGACTGAAAGTTGTTCAAAACAGCCTGTCCTTGGTGGCAGCTATTGAAAGAGAGAAGGTTGCCTGGGGCTTTATCAGCTGCTGAGTCCTGCGTTTGCAGCAGGTTTTGCTTCCATTATGCCTATGCTGGGCACCACCTTTACCTGTTCATCCACGCTATCAGTGATGGGAACAGGCAGGGTGTTGCTTTTCCAACCTCTCTGCCTATGGACAGAGCAGCATCATGAGAGCATGGCTTCAGCAGGGTTCGGGGTTCATGTGTGGGGCTTGTGGAAACTCACCTTGTCCTTGTTTTGGGGGACATTTCTCTTGTTCGGGACCTGGTGTAGGGTCAGCACAGCCTGTTGGTACAGAGGTTGGGATGAGGGGGTGCTGCTCACGCGGGAGCAAAGGTTCCCCTCTCCAAGCACAAAGATATTGTGCAAAGGGGAAAAGCTTGGAAGTTGCCCTCATGTATCAGCAGCCAGAAGCTGCAACTTGACCCTGTTCACTGCCTCTTCCCTGGCTCCAGGTGGAACCATGAGGACCTGGCAGGACATTTTGACCTCATCACCACCTACAACTACCTCAAGGGAGGTTGTAGAGAGGTGGGTGCTGGTCTCTTCTCCCAGGTGATGGGGGATAGAACAAGGGGAAACAGCACCAAGCTGTGCCAAGGGAGGTTCAGGTTAGAGATAAGGAGGAAGTTCTTTACTGAGAGGGTCGTCAGAGGCTGGAACAGGCTGCCCAGGGAGGTGGTGGAGTCACCATCCCTGGATGTATTTAAAGAGCGGGTAGACGAGGTACTTAGGGATATGGTTTAGGGGGTAGACAGGAGCGGTTGGACGTGATGATCTTGGAGGACTTTTCCAACCGAGCGATTCTGTGTGATTCTGTGTGATTTTTGCAGAGAAGATTGCCGATAGGGACTTACCAGACCTGTGGACCCTTCAGGAGGATGATAGCCTGCAGGTGCAGGTCCTCAAGCCTGGTTGGAATGAGTTTGTGCAGCGCAGTGCACTTGGAAGGTAGGGAGTTGCCAGCTTGGTCCCCGTTGGAGCGGGACCAAGTGTGATGGGCTTCATGCGGACCTTTCCCTTCCTCAAAGTTTTCTTGTAGGAAACAGCTTTTGACATGAAAAGGGCAGTTTGGAAGTGGGTGAAGGCTGGGAGGGGTTTTCCCATTTTGTTCCAATCTCGTTGGTTTATTGATTATTATAAAATAATCATGATAACTGAATAGGAGGAGAGTGCAGGAGCGCCACAGGGCCGAAGGGCAACTGATGTTTGGGAAGAGTTTCTCTTTGCTGGAATCAAGATACAAAGAGCTCCTCAAACAAGCAGGGGAACCACAGTAGAGCCAAATCTTCTGGGTTTGCACCTGGAGAATGAGGAGAGGGAGAGCTGCGTGTGGTGATGCCTCAGCAGTCCCCGCATCTGCCCCAGGCTGTGGCTCTGCATTGCTGATAAGTGACCAAGCATTTCCAACCCGGGCAGACCTTGGCTGTCCACCTCCATGTAGATTGTGCAAAATGAAGAGCTGTGGCTTGTACACCTTTTGACTCCTCAAGACACCTCCTTACCTGCCCTGCAGCCTCCACCCACACCTTCCTTTTATTTTTCTGCAGCTTTTTTTTTACTTCTCCCCAGCCCTGAGCTTGATGTTGGCTTTTTGCTGAGCTGTTGTGGCATGGGTGAGGGGTTGGAGCCACAATGAGACCTAGGCCCTGATGGTTCCCACCCCAAGGGTCTTGGTGGTGAGGCCAGGATGGGCCAGGAAAGGAGACCAGGTTGGTCCCAGCAGGCAGCCCGGCTCCTAAAATCTTTAATGCCGAGGCCACATCTGTGTTGAACTCCCCAGACTGACATCATGCTGTCAGGGGGAGGACAGTTTGATGTAGAGCTTGCATGAGTGAAGTTAATCTACCAGCCCTGGCTCTCTACTGACTGCACAGCTCAGCGTGGGGAGCCCAAGATGAGTTGGTCTCCTCCGTGCTCTGGCAGGTTCCAGTGCTCCCAGCGCCTTCGCGAGTGGTCCTCAGCCAAAGTGCACGTCCTCTTCCAGATGAGCTGGTGCCAGGGACAAGGCATGGTGTGGGTGCGAGTCTTTCGCCAGGCGTGCAGGCGGTGCTCTGACCCCCAGCTAGAGGAGCCCGAATTCAGCCAGGAGACCATGGAGAGGCTTCTGCACAACCTGGTGCTGAAGATTCTCAAGTACTTCTACCATGTGCCCATCCAGCCCTCTGACCTCCTGGAGGTTGTGGTGGATGAGCAGGTGACAGGGCCACACGACAGCACCCGCTGTGAGGGCTGCCAGGTCGGTGTTTGCAGCGCGTTGAGGCCTACCCCAGCACCGAAGGCCTGGAAGCCCTCCATGAATGTGGGCAAGGCCTCGGCCTGTCGCACCCAGAAACACCAGGACACAGAGCCCTTCGTGACCCAAACCCACTGCCTCTGGCCCTTTGATAGCAACTGCTCCTGGAAACGCTGCTGCTGCGTGGGCATCTCTTTGCTCTGCGTTTTGGCAGTGCTCCTCTTTGTCGTGTTTTATTTCACTAAGTGGTGAAGTGGGAGCTGTGGGTCGCAGAGAGGAACCAGGGTGATAGCTGGGGGAGCTGATGGAGTACCTGGGAAATTGGGTGCCCCAAGACAGCTCTCACTCATGGCATAGTGAGGCTTCCCCAGCTCCTGGAGGATGGGGACACATTGGGGCCCCATCAGTCTCAGGGACCCTGGTGGGTCTGATGGTTTCTTATGGGACATGTTCTGCGTGAAGATGACCCTCAGCTGCCCCATGTGAAGGATGAGGGTACTAGCAAGAATAAAACAAGCCCTTTCTCCTCAGCCCAAGGATGCATTTGTGTTTTTTAATTTCTCCAAAGCCTTTTCTGGGTAAAGGGGTGTGATGCTGACTCCTGTCTGCTGCTACTTGTCCCTGCAGGGCTCAGGGGACCTGGATGGTATCATGAAGTTGGGAGGAAACCTGTTGTTCCCCTGCAGCTGAACCCCCCTCAACCTCTTACCTTTCTTGGAGGGAAGCTGCTGGGCTCCTGCAGGACTCACCCATGGGGACAGCATGTCCTGTGGTCATGACTCTGGCCAAGAAAACCAAAGTGAAAGTGGTCTGTAAATGCTTGAAAAAGCTTTTGAAATAGTCTGCTCATCATAAGCCTCAAATACAACCATGGCTACCAAGGTCCATCTTCCCTGAGGTCCTGGAGTGGGCAAGTGGTGGGGAACATCAGAAGTAAGACAGCAGAGACTGGGATTCCTCTGATATGATCTCACCATGATCTAAATTTTGGAGTCTCTCCTGTGTTTCTTTTTCATGTAAACAGCCTGATTGCTCTCCTGACCCCTCTGTGGATCTCAAATCACCTGCGGCAGGGAGTCCTCCAGGGTCACCTTATTGCTGAAACTCTTCTTTTTGTTTATCCCTTGTTGTGCATTGCAGTTGCCTGAGTTTTTGTGTTAGACAAGACTGTGGGGAGCAGTCCGCCCTCTCCCCATGTCATGAAGCAGAGCTGTGACCAAGTTTCTCGCTGCCATTGCCTGTAGCCCTCTTCTTCCCATGCTGAGGTTTTCCAACCACGTCTGGCTGTCTGCAGCCTCCTCAGCCACACAGATGCTGTGGGGGACCTCCCTTGCCTTCACATGGAAAGCCAGCTCTGATGGAGACCACATTCCTCTGGGGGTTCTTTTCTTGCTTGTGTCTGCTCTTTTACAAGGGCAGAGCCATCCTTCACCACACTGCAACAACCTCTGCACACACCCTGCATTCTCCCAGCCATGGTGTTGCATGCATATGCTGCTTTTCCCCTGCTCCCTCCCCACTTGCCTACCCATCTCCTCATGCTATGTGTGCATGTCCTCTCCATCATACAGCCCCTTCGTCCCCTCACTGTTACTCAGAGACACCCATGCATACATGGGCTTCTCAGCCACAGCTTCATTTTTGGGCTTCTTCCAGGATACCCTGCTCCAGCTGTGCCCATCTCCCACTTGTTTCTTTCCAAACTGCCCTCAAACTACTGCTTTTTGTGGCTCTTGGCATGTTTGGACCCCACGGCTCAGCCCAGCCCCTAGGGATGGTGAGCCACTGCTGATGGTCAGCCCCCAAGCTGGCATGGGGACCACAAGCCCATCCCAAGAAGGGCGGCTAAGGGATGAAGGATGCTTTCTCTCTTCGTGGGTCCCAGACAGGTCCTGGCTGTCCCCCTAGTCTGTCTGAAGTTGGACTCTGCTGCAACTAACTCTCAGCTCATGCTTGAGGCACAGCCAGGGACAGGCAAACCTCACCCGGGACATTTATCCGGCCTTTCACCACAGGCAGACTGATAAATTGCCGTCTCCGCGCCTGTCTCCCTGGAGAGAAGCTCTCACCACTCTGGTAGGTCACAAGATGCCAGCAAATACAAATCCCCTTGTTGTTTTTCTCGCTTTTCTCCTTCACTGCCCCTTCCCAGCCCTCCCTGCTGCCAGCCAGTGGTCATAAGGCACAAGGGCTTGGCACTCGGCATCTTGCTGAGCTGGAGGTGAGGGCTGGGATGTGTCAGGGATCCTATGGGTGGGAGGCAGAGGAGAGTCTGTATTTATGACTAGTTATTATAGGGCAGCAATATTTTTTAGCTTGCCCTGAAGCTGTCCAGTCCCAGATTCTACAGCTGATGGTTTAATGCCCAGCGCTGTTACTTAAGTTTTGTGTCTCCAAGGGCTGAGTTTTTACACCCAGGGATGCAGAGGAGATGCCCAGCAGAGCTGTGTCCCTGCCTCAGCTCCCATCTGTGCTGGAAGACACACAAGCAAAAGTCCCTTACCTGTTGTTTTTTATTCACATGGATTGAACCCAGATTTAACTGCTATTCTCAGCACACAGGTTGCTGTGCTCTCCCCCTGCCACCTCTCCTGTCTTAGTTATGTGCTAAGGCTATAAATAATCTTATTTGTTGCCTTATTTTGCAATTTGTATTCACAGCTGGTCAGGGGCTGTCTCAGTCCATGTGGCTGCATGGGCCATGGCTGAGCACCATTTGGGGTGAGGGACAGCGTGAGAATCCCCACCCTTGACCATGTTCCTCTTGCAATAAAAACCTCAGAGCACAAACTCAGTACATATAAAAGTTTTATTTTGTTCTCAAGAGGAAGATTACACAGAACCGTCCTTACCTGACCTTGGATATTTTACAGAATGTAGTATCAAAAAAGAAATATATATATATATATATATATATATATAAATACCTTGCAGTAACATGACATAGCCAAGAATACAGTTCTTACTGTGTCTGCGAGTTTGACCTTCCTTAGGCCTTCTGCTCCTTTACATGCTCTACAAATGGCTTTTGGGATGATGGCAAAATAGCAGAATGGCTCATTCACTGTTGACTCCTTCCTTGCATGGCAAAACCAAAGGAGGAGGAGGAGGACAGGCCCCATGGAGGCTGCACACATGCAGAGAGGACAGCGGGCGTTTTTGCATGTTGCTTACGGATCTAGGAGACCTTTGCTGGCAAGTGAAGGAGATGATGTCCCTGCTGAAGGAAATGAAATATGAATATTTCAGGTGGGTTAGGTGAGTTGGGGTCTGTCTAGAATGACTTGAACACCTGCAATAGGCCAGAAGAGCCACAAACAAGCACTGAACACCATCAGTAACCTGTAAATAAGCCAAATCAATGGCCTTAAAAGCATTTAAAAGGGATCAGGTTCTTGCAAGAATGAATGCACTGCCATGCAGGCCTACCCAGGCCCATAAAGAAGAGGTGAAACCCCAAGGAAGGGCATTTTATGTGAAATGGTTCTGCTGAAAATAAGTATTGCTTAGGTACAGTCTCATGTGTTGGAAAACTTTCCTTGGGCTGTCTGCTGTGGCTGGAAACCATTCCAAGAGCTAGTCTGGGAGGAGGACTGGAGAGGGCTCAAGGTGATGGAGGGTTGGAGAAGTTTTGATGGCTGGAGGTGAGGGTGACATTGAGTTCAAACCCCACTCCCTGTTCTTGTGGCCTCTGTAGGGCAGCCATCCCACGTGGTGGGGTAAGGGAAGTCCATTTGAATTGGTGCTGTCTTGGCAGCCATTAGCTTTCCAGCCATGGCTGAGGCTTAGGACTGATCTGGATGCATCCTCACATCACCAGGGCCAGGAAAACGTTGCCTGAGGGCATCAGGCAAGAATGTTTGTTTGCAAATAAATATAGTAGGAAGCCCCCAGGGGTCTCTCACTATTTCTTGCACAGAAAAACACAAGCTGAGGATGCTGGCTGAGATCTTGCCCTTTGCTCCCTTACTCCAGCTCCCTAGCAAGTATTTCCTAAGAGTACAAGTGAAGAGACGTGAGACCAAGCGAAAAAAATGATGTGGAGGGCTGGCAAAGGCCTGGCATGCATTTAGCATCATGGCTACTGCTTGCGAAAGACCAGAATCTGGAGCACATTAAACAACAAACAAGAAGAAGAAAAGGAGCTGCGGTAGAAGGCTGCTTAGTCACTCATCTCTCCAGCTCCGTGTCCAGAAATGTCCATCTCTCTGAGATGCCCATTTTCTTCTCCACCCAGTCCACATAGTTAGAGACTTTGGTGTACACACCGTACACCTGCTTACTGCCGCACTCCTCCGGGCCACCCCAAGAGACCAGCCCTTGGGCCACCCACCGCCGGGTTCCTGGGTCCTGGATGACAAAGGCTCCCCCACTGTCTCCCAGGCAAGTGTCCTTCCCACCTTCGTAGTAGCCGGCGCAGAACATGTTCTCGGTGACGCTGTAGTTCCCCGAGCGCGACTCGTAGCTGGTCTTGCACTCTGCGTGCAGCACCACCGGTAGTTTGACGTACTGCAGGATGTCGGACAGTGTCCTCATGCCCGAGCTGATGATCTCATCCACCGTGATGTTCGGGTTGGAGATACCCCAGCCAGCCACCAGCCCCAGCATATTAGGGTGAGGCCCCTCCAGCTCGTGCTCAAACTGGGGGAGGCAGATGGGCATGACGTAGTTCCCCATGGTCACCTTCTCCTTCAGCTTGACCAGAGCGATGTCATGGTTGTAGTTCTGGATGTCAAAGTCCTCGTGGAGGATGATTCTCTCCACTGTCCGGTTGATGGCCTCCATCTTGTTCCTCACATCATGGAGGGCCAGGTAGACGGTGACGTGCTCCTTGGAGACGGGGATGACGGTCTTGTCTCGCCGCTGGGAGCGAAGCACGTGAGCAGCTGTCAGCACCCAGGAGTCTGAGAGCAGGGCCCCGCTGCCAAACCATTTGTCATTGGGCACCCGGGACATGTCCTCCACCACAATCAGGGCCTGCCAGGGGAAGAAGCCAGGCTCTGCGTTTCGCCCACCAATGATGCGCTTGATGATCCCAGGCAGAGGACGAGCTGGCCGGCCACACACTGGGGACAAAAAGGACAGGACAGTTACTCCAGCACTTCCCTAGGGAGAGTGAAAAGTGACATCCTAGATTATGCCACATGTCTGGTTCTTTTCAAATCAAATGCTCACGCGTGTCTTTTTTTTCCACAGAGGGGAACTCTTTTCTTTTTTTTGATGGATAAAGCCCATCCTCCCACCTTCACTTTCTCCCAGCAAAGTATGCTTCAGAGCTTGGAGCAGGCTGGACATTACACCCCATCCCCTATGCTAGCAGATCTTTGGAGGTATGCCTGAATATAGGAACACATATATCCTTCTGAAGGGGTGTTGCTTCCTAAAAGCAACCCCAGCTCCTTTTGTGTCTTCCTTGCTTGGTGGAACCATTTCTGGCGGCAGTGATTTGCCCTGCTGGGTAAAGAGCAGTCTTTTGCTCTTCCATGAAGATGGTGGGATGACTTTATTCAGCCCTTGTGAAGACGGTCATGGACAAAGAGGACAGTCTGAAGCCTGCATGGATTGCCCAGTTCCTTCTGTGAAGTAGGAGGTACCCTATGTTTCTTTAAGCCTGATGGCCCAGACATGAGTATGTGCTGGATCTCCACTTCACAGAGACTGCAGGATTTACTCTGCACATAACAGGTTCA